TATGCCTTGAGCTGGGTAGGGGCCACATTCTATCCTGAAGTTTTCGGTGTTGTCCCCTGTATTGTGCTTCTGGCTTCAAGCTGATGAAGGTTTTTCCTGCATCCTTGTTCCACAGAGTATGTGTTTGGGCTGGATACGATATCAGTCGCTCATGCCTAGCGATGTTACCTGCTGGGAGCCAGTTCTATGGTTCTGCTATAAATACCAACTCTGCCTACCTAAGGTTGATGTTAGTGTCTCCTAGGTGGGCCAAGTCAAAAATGGTCAACAAGCTTATTTTTAACCGACAGTTTTGTTATGTATCATAATAAACAGAAATGTGGTTGTCTGTTATATAGTCATATGGGAGCATCTGTCTTTGCCATTACATTGTTAAATCTTGAAAAGATTATGCTTAATTTTTTCTACCCCCTCTACCCTGCCATACTATAGAAGATACATAATGAGCCAACTGATTAATTGTGTAAGAACCAGGGTAAGGTGTGTAGTTGGAATATTTGACTACTTTGTATGTCTGTGGTTTCTAAACGTTCAACCTTATTTCAGCAAGTGCGCACTTTGTGTCCTCTAGTCAGTCTGTTTGTGAGATACTCAAAAAACCCTTTGCTCAGCTGGGCATGGTGGTGCGCACATTAATCTTAGGCTTTGAGGAGGCTGAGGCGGGAGGACTACAAATTCAAGGCCAGCCGGCAACTTGGCCAAGATTCCATTTCAGAATAAAAATTAAAAAGGCCTGGTGGTGTAGCTGCAGGGTACAGCGCTGGCCAAGCATGTGTGAGGCCCCAGGTTCAGTCTCCAGCAATATAAAAACAGAGCAATTTGACCTCTCGAACTTAAAAAAAAAAAAAAAAAAAGCTCAAAACAGCTTTCATGTGGGGCAAAAAAGGTATCTGAAAAGTTTATAATCAGAATTTTTAAGTATCAGTGTCTACAATTTTATCTTCTCTGTTGCTTTTCGCCCTTGGGTAGTCCTTACCCTCGCCCTGATGCTCTTTTGGCTCCAGGGCTCTTGCCTTAATTCCAGTTTCCAGAAGCCCGAATACACGTTTTTCTGTGGTTAAGTGTAACCCAAGCTGCGAGGTGTTTTTGTAAATTGAATCTTTAGGAAGCCTCCGGTGGTGGTGTTCCTCTCTCCCCTTGCCCCGGGTGGAATGCACCCTCCGTCTGCTGGGTTTGGCCCCTTCCCTCTGGTAGGTGAGTTGTGCTGCATTTCCTGGCAGGCTTGCTCCTTCCCCACCTTGCAGCTGTTCTGGGCTGCATCACAACAGGTTGCTGTTTCGAATTTTCTTCAAGGCTCACTTCTTACCGCCTTTTACTCTTTTTCCTCTGTAGCTGAGCCCGTTTCCCACGTTGGGGCAGCACCTGTAGCCGACCCACCAGGCCGGCCAGGACCTAGACCTGCTTTGCTGTTGTCCCTGTCCCTGGGCAAACAAGGATGAATGGCAAAGACACACGGAGTCAGTTTAATGTGCGGGCAGCCAGGGAGCCCTTGGCTCCTAGGAGCCCCTCATCTTGCCTTAACTCACGCAAACCTGGGTCCAAGCAGTCAAAGTGATGAGATGCACCTGCTTTCCAGCATCCGCTAGTGCACTCTGGTGAACAGCTGAACCTTGGCTGAACTAGCTTTTCCGGAGAACCTGGGTACCTGCTAGCCCTGAGTGCGGCCCTTCTCCTTTGTGCTCACGGAGGAGGCCGATCAGGCCTCATTCTCCTCTGGTCCCCAGCACCCCGCCCTGGGGAGCTTGTCACCATATTTGCTGTGGATCCCTTTATTTCCCTTTACCATTTTATTTCACAGCCTCCCATGAAGCTTTCTGCACTGTTGGCCTTTGGTGCTGATGGCGCCACAGGAACTTAGGACGGGAGCCCAACAACGCGGAAGCCCAGCACGTTGAGATCTCCCAGAAATACCAGAGCGTGGCTTGACTGGAGAATTTAGATTTGCTCTTTGGAACATCTGCCCAGTTAGTACCACGTGGGTTTAGACAAGCAGCATGGAAGAGTCAAGTAGATACAACTACATTTTCTATATATATATTTATATAATTTTTTTCTTTTCTGTGTGTGTTATTGGGCAATGAACCCAGGCCCTCACAAATGCCAGGCAAGTGCTCTTCCACTGAGCTACACTGTCAGCCCTTTCTAAAATTTGATTTTTTTTTTTTTGTCACTGGGGATGGACTTCAGGTCCTTGCGCTTGTGAGGCAGGCGGTGGAACCACTGAGCTTAAATCCCTGGCCTATTTTTAAAATTTGATTTTGAGGGAGCGTTTTACAAAGTTACGCAAGCTGACCTTGAACTTGCAATTCTCCTGCCTCAGCCTCTTGAGTAGCTGAGATTACAGGAGTGCACTTGCATGCTGGGATAACTAAACATGCTGACAGTAGTTTTACTCAACAGGATAAAAGTTTAAACAGAAGCGTTGAAAAATGCTTATTTCTGATATATGATTTTATCATTTCACCTCAACTCTTTTATCAGATGCTCACCTCTGATTCTCTTCATCATTCTGTCCAACACTTTGTCTGATGAATACATTTTTAATCAAACCTGGCTTGCCAAGATTCTGTAAATGACTGTAAAATATGAGTAAAAAACAAATGTGGGTGAATAACTGTCTCAAATTACGTTTGATAAGCAAACACTGCTTGGATTTAATTGTTTATTTTTAGTAATAAAACACATTATACCTATCTTGTGTGGCATAGTGAGAGAGGCCCCGGGCGATAACAGAGAATTAAAGCCCTGGCTGTCCTGCAGGGTGGTAGCAGGTCAGTGGGAGACTGTGAGATAAAGTAGTAAAAATGCGTCCTTCAAGTGGCCATGGGGCTGTCATGCCCCTGCCACTCAGCTCCAGAACACCAGACAAGCTTCAGGAAGGCTGGCTGCTGCTTCCTGGTTTGAATCCATTCCCAGTGGCTCTATGAGCTGTGTGATTTGGGACAAGTTACTGAAGAGCTCTAAATTTCTATTTTCTGATCTGCACAATGAGGCCAATTGCATTGGCTTTGGAGGTTATTTTGAAAATGGAATGAATCTGACAACAT